CTCAGTAGTGGTCAAACCTGATGAATCTGTGAGGCCAGTTCACGAGTAGGAGCCAAAAAGAGGGCTTGCGTCTCCTTCCTGCTCTCATCCATGCGCTGGAGGCTACCAATACAGAATGTAGCAGTTTTGCCCGTGCCACTCTGCGCCTGCACCACAACATCGCGGCCGAGAAGAATTTGACAGATGGCCCGTTGTTGTACCAGAGATGGTTTCTCGAAGCCTGCAACGTAAAAGGAAAACACAGGCATAAACAGTGGATCGGTGGCAAAGTCTCACATAACAAGGAGGATGATAAAAGTGACTTGAAGGCTGCAACTGCATAGCTAATGTTTGTGCTGTGGTCCTGTAGAGTGAGAAAAGTGAACCACCAGAGAAACAGCTGGAAGGACACTGTAGGAAAGGTTGACGAAAAAACGCAAATTAAGAAGGCCAGTATGTGCTGGAATACATCTGACTTCCTCGATTCCTCCTTTACTCATAAACCACAACAGGTAAGGGTCGCTGTCTCTGATGATGGGTTAGAGTCTTAATTCGAAAGGCTAGGCGGTGGTAGTTTGGAGACGTTCTTCGTAGTTAACTTCAGGAGCTCAGTGCTGCTGCCCTCGACTTGAAACCGTTACCTAATTGTAAATGCCAAAGAGAGGGTCAACTCAAAACCTGGCTCGACTCAGTCCGTCAGACAATGAAAGTGGTTATTGGGCCTTCGGTCTCCGGGGATGGAGAAGAGACTGGATAGAGCTCTCCAGATCCGCTGCCGCCAATCGTCGCGCATGGAGAGGTACCGTCCTTGAAATCACCGAGGCCAGCTAGATCAGGTATGATCACGACCGTAGCAAATACAAGGCGTTTAGAATACTAGTTTCAGTGATCGTGACTATTTATCGACTGCTTCCTGGAACCTGTATTTTTGCTTGTGTGTATTGACGAGATTAGTAAGAGTAGACACCAGCTGATTTGGAAATGGTCATCATGCAACAAACAAAATTGGTGTCACTTTTTGAAAAGACCACCCGTTTGAAGTGATATCAGTATATGCGACTGCCATTGCATATCTACCGGAATCCTAGCCGCCCGAGTTTAAAAATGTTTGACAACTATGACCACGACTGCTAGGTAGAATATGGCGTGACAATTGACATTAAATTTGACAAACAATTACTGGACCGTAAGTCGTAAAAATCCGATTTCCAGGTGGTAAGTCAGAGGGAGAAAGTATTCACCCTCTGAAGATGTATAGAGGAGACAACTACCTTAAACGTCAGGTGTCAAATAAACCTCCTCCGGTGAACGCTTTTTATCCTTCTGAATTACTGTGCCGTCCGCCTTAGGTTCAAGACAGGATTGTAAACAAAATATGAGAAACGGTAATAGATAATTCCTATGTTACCTGCAATAAGTCAAACATTTTACACCTCTCGGACATTTTATGATTCCAAAATAGGAAATAAAGTGCAGATACTAGTAAATACGACAGAAGCGAACATTGTGCCATCATTAAGTTGGTGACTGGCAACCGGGATAGGAGCCCGGAGCACTCCTAGTCAGGCTTTACAAATTCCATTTATTAGTAAGGAATGTATTATGTTAAAAAAAACATCCATCAAAGGGGCCCCGAGTTCTCAGTAAACCGAAAATA